TTAACACTTAAACTGTCCAGAACAGCCCACGGGCCCTGTTGATGTGTGTTAAAGGGCTAAGTAAGCCCTCCCTTTTTAATTGATACCTTTCTAGACCAGCGGTATCGATCTATGTCTGCCCAGAGCCAATAATACCTACTGAGTAATAACTACACACTAGTTATAGTTGCAATCATTTTGACTGCTGAGGTGGAGACTCAGAGTGCTACTACCCTTACAGAGAGACCAAGCATCTGCGTGAACTCCAAAACATTCAAGAACAGCATTTGATTTAATTTATAAATCTAACAAGGTTGAGTCAGGTCCTCTGGATGGATTCTTCTTTGTTGAAACATTTCATATTTTATCCAGAAGACTTCTTCAGTCTGAGACTCTTCAAGATACTCGGTCTCATGAGTCTTAAGTCCTAAGACTGAATTTCTTGCAGGGTTTCAGACTGAATAAGTCTTCTGGATAGAAGATGAAATGTTTCAACAAAGAAGAATCCATCCAGAGGACCTGACTCAACCTTGTTAGATTCATCTACCTGGATTATTGAGCAGCATCAGTTAATTTGGGAAGTGTTTTTTAAAGAAGTTTCATGCATGTTGGGGGGAATGTTAAGTGCTTATCGTCGCCTCTCAGCAAGAAGGTTGTCTGATCAAATTCCAGCCACTGATCTGGGTGGAGTTTGCATGTTCTCTCTGTGCAACTGTGAGTTTACTCCAGGTTCTCCAGTTTCCTCCCACAGTCCAAAAACATGCATGTTAGACTGATTGGTAACTCTAAATTGTCCCTAGGTGAGTGAGAGAGTGAATGGTTGTTTTTCTCTTTGTGTCCCTGTGATGGACTGGAGACCTGTCCAGGGTGTCCCCCGCCCCTCGTGCCTCAGTGATGGCTGGACATGGGCACCAATGACCCCTGCGGCCCAAAAAGGAATAAGTGGGTAAAAGATAATGGATGGATGGACTTTAAGGGCTTAACCAGCATTTATTTGGATTGTTTGGTTTACTGTGTTCACAGATGATAATTTGTGGAAGTGTGCATGAGACGTTTTTATTGCTGTGCCATCTGAGATCACAACTGTCCTGTATCTGACTTTCAGCCTTGTCCTTTGAGCACAAACATTTCTACAAATTCTTGTGTTTTTAATGAATCAGTTCAATTCATTTTATTTATAAAGCACCAAGTCACAACAGAAGTCGTCTCAGGACACTGAACAGAAACATTCATATATAAAAATAATAATTTAACATAATTTATCTGAGGAGCAGACTGATTTGAATTGAACTCCATCACAGAACTCTCATCTTGAACAAACATGAAGGCGACAGTGGAAAGAAAAAACTCCCTCATGAGGAAGAAACCTTTAGCAGAACCAGACTCAGGACAAGAGGACATCTGCTTCAACCAGCTGGGTTTGGTAGGAACAGATACACAATGGCAGGTCAAGAATCATGTTAAGATAGAAATAATATCAAATGAAAACTATTCAATTTTAATCATTCATTTTAATAAATGAGGTCAATTTGTCCTCCA